GCCAAACCCAATAGTTTTGCGAACGTAGTAACGAAAATTTTCGTAGGTATTATTTAAGTTGCGAGAGTGGCTTCGCTCGTCTACGGGATGAAGGGGCTTGATATGGGAGTGGAAGGGAGAAGAAAAAGACAAAACAAAATTATTCATTACTGCTTACTCTCTCGTACTCATTGAAGGGTATGGAGTGACTCAAACTAACCTCATGAAGCGGCTCCTGAGAAGTTAAAGTTTGCCCGGCTCTGAGCTAAAACGATGGAGGACGTAAATAATACCGCTTGTCGTTCTACTAAAGAAAACATCAATAAAACTACTACTATTACTACACATAATGTTTAGAAGCCGTGAAACAACATTTGTCCGTAAACAACACTCTATGAAAACAATTGGGCTCTTCAGTACGTATTTTTTTTTTATGTTTTCGTGGAAGAGGGGAAATCTTCAGAAGACACCCAGCCGTCCGTACGACTGGATAGTGTCGGATCCCCGAGGAAGAAGTCCTCGGACCTACCGACTAAAACCCCTCTACCTCAGGCCGTTTTAGGACCAACTAGGGTCCTCTTCAGCCGTCAGTACGTATCCGTCATACTGGTTACATAAGAGTACTTAACGTTGTGCGTTATTTCGCGTGTACTACTTTTGGGGTTAGCAGTGATGTGATTCGGGTGTGGACGTACGACTGAGGGCGGTTTGATAAATCGGCTGGTGTAAGGTAACGGTTCAGAATTTCGTAAGGCCAACTGTGGACGATCAAAGTGGATCATAAGGCAAAAGTCGGAAGTGGAGGGCTCTGTGCAACCAGGGACAGTGCAGCGTTTCAGCGGGTGGTTCTATCTCAATGGTGACGGGTGCTGCTGATACGTCTCGAAGGAGGGTCAACAAAGGCAAGGGATTAAACCAAACCAATTGACGGTGGACTCTACCGTTCAACAGTCGGATGACCTCGTTGAAAATCATTACGCTTATCTAACTTCATATATCAATCGTAAGTTGAAGAAGGCAATTCACATATGCAAGGCAGGGCTAGGCCAATCTCGTAAATAAATGTTTCAAACTCGAAGAAAAGCCATTCACAACTGTAGAACAGAGCTAGGCCAATACTTGATCGGATCTCGCAAACAAACGTTCAAGTCAATCTCTGTCTTCTTTGCCAGGGTAGGTGGAATGTCGAAGATTAAGTTCTATGGAGATTGTGGGGTCTTTCATATTCAATTTGGCTGCCCTTTTCACTGCGGGAAGAAAAGCTGATAATAACCTATCCCTTTCGTAATCTACATGGCGAAGATTCGCAACTTAATTTCCCTTTTTTTTTATATAAGAAAAGTGGAGCCCGAGTTTTAATTACAGTGTTAAATTCTGTTTCCATTTTAGTAATAAAGACAAATTTGGTTCTCTTTAAGGATTAATAAAATCCACTAAACAAGTTATTGTTATATAGTGTCACATGTAGATATTAAAATTAATAATAGCATTTTAGAATGTCTTGTAGGATATTAGTACTGAGGTATTATTGCCTTATTCAAATTTTAAAATATTAAATCCTACTGCAGTGAATTACGAAATAACAGACATTAATAAATAAATAGTATCAGACCACTATCACTACGAAGTCATACTATATGTATTCGTATGTAGATAGGTACTCATCATTAAACTAATACCGCTTTATACTGACAACAGTTTGTAGTAAATATAGAATGAATCCGAACGGCATTATGTCAGATGCAATATTGGTTTGGTATTTCTAAGATAATATTTTTCGTAAATGACCATGTAATAAAAATACAAACGAAACTATTCGGATAAATCGTTCTGTTCAACCTCTTCTGTGCAGGCAGTCTGAATTTCTTAAAATACTTTTTTAATTTTTAGTTTTCCAAAAATTGAAAATTCATTAAAGACTTCGCAAAACTATTTAAAGAAAAATATTCTCAAATCGATGTTAGTGACACTAATTTTTTTTTGGTGTTACATGCCCACCAGCCAGTATTGCTGGTGAGCGGGCAGTCTCTCCGGACTACGCCGGAAGGTAGGTAGGTACCGCTCATTTCGATGAATATGCCATAAACAAAAAAATTAGCGGACTCAAATCTTAATACATCAGCCCCTATAGATTTACTAATCGGAGCAGAACTCTTTTGGGACATACTATGTGTGAGTCAAATTAAACAACCCGGACAACACTGTTTACAAAAAGAAAAACCAATTTGAGTAGATTATCGATGGCTCGTATTACCACAATCTTTAAAAAAATTATTATAATCCGGTAATTGTCATATTGCAGTTCAATCAGATTTAGATACAACGTTAAGTAAATTTTGGGAGGTCGAGGAACTTCAGGCAGTCAATAACGTAACTGTTGAAGAATATCAATGTGAAGAGCTTTTTATCAAAAGTTTTAGTCAAAATTCTGAGGGTAGATTTATAGTTAAGGTCCCTTTTCAGAAAATCATCCAAAATTAGGTTTATATGCAGAATTAGAATTAAAACGGTTTTACTCTTTAGAATATAAGTTAAATAAAAATCCAGAGTTAAAAGGCATTATTCTGATTTCATCAAAGAATATTTGTAATTAGGGTACATGGAGCGCGTACCAGATGACGAATTAAACAAAACCGAGAATGAAAATGTATTATGTTCCGCATTATGCCATAGTGAAAAACTCTAGCTGAACAACAAAATTTACTTTTGCTCTGCCAAAACAACATCCAACGTAAGTCTAAATGATACTTTAAAAATAGGTACGACATTACAGCAAGAACTGTTTGACATTTTGATCAGTTTTCGTATGCATATGTTTGTTTTTGATGCTGACATCATCATTGCGATTATCAGGGAATATTTTGGGTATGACATCTAACCGACAAAATTCAATCTATTCGGCTAACGACAGTCATTTACAGTACGACTTCGCCTCTGTATTTAGCCATTAGAAGCTTACAACAATTAGCAAAAAACCATACAAATCTATTTCTGAATGCAGCTAAAACAATAATGACAGATTTTTTCGTAGACGATTGCCTAACAGGTGCTCAAACGTTAGAAGAAGACAAATTACTACGTGATCAGTTAATATCAATTTTAAACAATGGGGGTTTCACTTTAACTAAGTGGGCTTCAAACACACCACAGTTACTTCCAAATAGTCAACCAAATGTAAATACTGTAATCAACATTAATTGTGATGGTGAAATAAAAGCCCTTGGCTTATTATGGAATACTTCATACACTTCAATTCACTTCAATACACTTTTAATTTTCTTTCGATTCAGGACAAAAATCAAATAAAATAACGATCCATTTTATCGACCGTCGCTCAAATATTTGATCCCTTGGTTCTTGTTGCTCCAGTAATTATATAAGCGAAAATATTAATACAACAGTTATGGTGTTTAAAGGTGAATTGGGACGAATCGTTATCCTTTTCTCACTCCACCAAATTTATTAATAAGGTTTCTATTCCGCGAAAGGTAGTAAATATAAACACGATATCTTTTGAACTTCACGGATTTTGTAATGCGTCGAAAGCAGCATACGGTGCATGCATTTATCAAAAATGTTCCGACAATCTTAATTATTCAACCACGAGTTTACTTTGCGCTAAATCACGCGTAGCTCCTCTCAAAAACGTATCGTTGCCTAGGCTAGATAGTTACTTGCACGATTGACTCATAAAATTAAAAATACAATCAATTTACCTGTTTCAAATTGTTACTGTTCGGTGGTTGCAGTATTCGATCACTGCTCCATATATGTTTTCGTATTTTTTTTGGTTGTTGAAGAATAAATAACTTTTTTGTTTGTTTTTTATTTTGTACAATATGAACACTATGTACAACTTGTATTTTGCTTGAATATTGTTGGTCTGATAATATATAACTGTTGATTGATAGATTTGAATTAATTTGGAGTTGAAGATTGAATTTCACTGTTAGTTAGATTTGAATAATAGATAGAATTGTATAGTTAGATTTGAATTGGTAAATCGAATGCCAAAAATTTGCCTTTTCATGGTTTAAATAAAGTCGGCACAAAATGGACAACGCGAACCGTGCAAAATTACGCCTTCGCCGTCGCGTACCCCTCAGGTATCCTCGGTACATTCCGAACTGATGACGTAGCTACGGACTTGGGTTTTCCATTTTTTAATGATATTTTGAGACCTACCTGGTCCTATCTCTTGGTTAAAATTAATGTATTACCTATACTAATAAATGAATATTTAATTATACCTATACAAATAAATACTCTCAATTTTTACCCACTACACATTACCTCAAATTAATGAGAAAAAATTGTTGCTGTTGTCACACCCCCGTCAGGAATCGAACCCGGGCTCTTTGGCTTTACGCGCCAATGCCAGAAAATTGAAATTAATGAGGTAATCTGTAATGGGTAAAAATTGAGAATATTTCATATTAAAACTAACTTACTTCGGGAAGATTTCTATATTGTATGTACAAATAAATACATTAAAATCGAATACAACTAGAACAAAATACAAAGTTGAGAAACGAACAAAATGGAATATTTACAAAAATTACAACATTTCATTACATAGAAACAAACACAAACAAATCGAATATATCTATATTTACAAATATTAATTGAAGACGCAACAATTAGGTACTATTGGACCTATTCAATGATAGTTTTGTCTTGGTTAGCGTCCCCATCTCGCAACTATAAAACATTCTTCTTAAAAAGCATAATATAAAAACCACAATCACATAATAAACAACCACATACGGCTGAAGAGGACCTTAATTGGTCCTAGAACGGCCTGAGGTAGAGGGGTTTTAGTCGGTAGGTCCGAGGACTTCTTTCAAGTGTTAAAAATCGTAATGAAAAATCGTGAAGGTCCGTGAGATTGCAGAAATGACACAGATATGTAGTTAGAATGATATAAATGAAATAAATTGACCGTAGCAGAAGTGAATCCAGAAATAAATTGACAGTGATAGAAGTGAAATAAATAGCGCAGTGAATAGTGATATATCAACAGTAGTGTAAATAAATAGAATAATTCATAACCTAAGTTTAGTAATAATTTAATAGTGTTTTTGAGTTCTTTAATAATTAGTGTAAATACATAATTTTTGTCGTTATCAGTCTTAGAAGTTAATTTTGTTAAACCCACGAACATTACAATATAAAGAGGGGCCTTCCGCCCTATCTTCCGACGTAGTCCGGAGGGACTGCCCTTCCACCAGCATTAGCGGCTGGTGGGAATGAAATGGCTTTTTTTAGTACAGGGTACAGGGACGTCAGTTGTTCCGCAAAGGGGGGGATGTTACCTAGTATCCATAAATTCTTATTTAGATCACTGGTACAAAGTTGATCAATTTGCGNACTTATAAGCTAAACACAAAAATAAGTAATTGTTTTAAGAAAGCAGAATAAATTCGCTTTTTAAACAATGATTATGAGTCTTTGTTTAATGCATAGATTAAACACTGTTGCATGTGCACAATTCTGCAGATGAAGGAAATCCAAAAACGAATGAAATAAATCAGCATACACGATTAACCATGAATTGAATTGACGGTTAAAAATGTAGTTAGAGGTTAGAACGATTTAAAAATATGAAAAAGGGCGGCAAGGCGATTCTCATAGACATTCTTGACAGGAGTCAATTTCGCGCCTGCGCAAAAGATACGGAGTCTTGCGGTTTTTAGTGTCGCCAGGTGTCGCCTTATATCTCCCTGGTTTATTATCCAAAACCAGTGACAGTTTTATTCTTATCTATGATGCTATTTTGCTGGTGACGAAACGGCCATCTTGTAGCGTCAAATTTTACGGTCAACGGACGAAAGGTGTTTATGTTATTTTCAAATACTCAGATTCATTCTTATCAGATTATTGGTTGATTTTTAGCAACGGAGTGTTGTACTATATTGTCATTATTGTGCTTTAGAGTCCGGTGTCATTCATATATACTTGTTCCCAAAAGAATAACATAAGGTAAATGACTGCCTACCCATAATTTATTTAAAAAATAACTGTAATAAGTGTAAAGAGTTTTAATTATCAATGAGAAAAGTAAGTATGAAACGTCGAAGCAAAAACGACAAGAAAAATGCTAACGAAAAAACTGGGCAAAAAAATGGTGTAAATGAGGAATGTCACGAAAAAGAAGAAACACAATCTGATTCGGATGTATCTACAGATTATGAAACCAGTCTAGAATTAGAGAAAAAGAAGAAAAAGAAGACGGAAAAGGATCAGGTAGAACGGTCTGAAAAAAATAAGAAGAAGAAATCTGAAGAAGAGCTTAAGGATGAAAATGATGAACCTGCAAGTAAGAAAAAACGAAAATCTGAGAAACGGAAAAGTGTTTCATTTTCTAAAAGGCATGATGTATCAGAATCAGAAACTGAGAAGGAATCAGAAACAGAAGAGGAAGATGGCCAATTTGAGGTAAATAGTGTAGTAGATGTGGTTTAGTAAGATATTAAATTTAAATTTATTGTTTTAGGTTGAAGCAGTACTTGATGACAAAAAGATTAAAGGTGTTTTGCATTATTTGATCAGATGGAAAGGTTATGGGCCAGAAAGTGATACATGGGAGCCCGAATCAACCTTGCATTGTGATGATTTAATTGCTGAGTACCGAAGTACTTCTAAATCAAGTGATAAAAAAATGAAACCTTTAAGAAAGGAAATAAAAACAAAGAGAACCAAGGATTCTGAAAACAACTGGGATAAAAATGAACAGTTTGAGGTATGTGATGCTTTTGTTTATAATAAAATGTGATGTCGCATTTTGTTAGGTTGAAAGAATATTAGAGGTTCATTTTAAAAGAAATGGTGACAGAGAATTTCTGGTTTCATGGAAAGGCTATCCAGCTTCAGATAATTCCTGGGAGCCTGAGGAAAATCTTCAGTGTCCAGATCTCATTGAAAAGTTCATGTTAAAAGTTGCACAAGCTAAAAATATTGACCAAAAAGAACTAAGGGAATTTAGAAAACCGACTGAAAGGCTTACTTTAAATATGCAGGAAACATCAAGGCGTCTAAGTAGAAGACTTCGTGGCAAGCAAAGGTAAATTATTTTGTTCTCTGTTTTTGAAAAGTATTTTAAGAGAACTTTCATAACATAATCAACTTGGCTAAATTTTTTGCAATTTTTACAAACCATCGTGAAGTAAAGGTTGTGGCATTTATAATCAATTAAAAAAAAAACGTGGCGTCCTAGCTCTAATTAAAACAAAAAATTGTTATAATAATCTGTGATCTAATGACAATTGAACATGCAAATTGCCATTGTAAATTTGAACCTATAATGTGTGTGAGTATGTAGTCCAGTGAAATTAGGTTTTTATGTCCTAAAAGATATTGTACCATCTTTTTTTAATCAATTTATTTTAGTGTTTAGAAAAAATTATTAAAAATGGAACATCAAATCACTAATGCATAAAATATCAAGGTCAAAATTTTTTGCAAAGTCCTATGACTCCAACATCAGTTAAGGTCATTATAAAAACGAAAGATAATGGAATTTTCCAAAAAAATGATCTCTTCAATTTTTTATGTTAAACGAATAGTTAAGGTAAAAATTTATTCCCACGTAAGCTCATATTCTATGCATGGGCTACAGGAAGAGGTGTATATACACCTTACGTGAAAATTTTTGCTTTAATCATTTATTATATATAAAAAACAGATCATTTGTTTGGAGAATTCCATTATCTCGCTTTCATAATGACTTTAATTGACCCAAAAAAACTTTATTAACATTAACCTTGAATAATTTTTTATGCGATAGTGATTTCGTGCTCCATTTTTAATATTGTTTTTAAAACACCAAAATAAAGTCATTAACAGAAAGTATGATAACTAATCTTTTAGAACCTTTTTACATCTAAAGTGATTGGAGTTGGTTAAACATTCTGTTGTGGTATACTGGAGTTTGTTTCACATATGATTGCTGGTGTAGTCGATCAGTTATTTATTTATCTACCATGGTACAAACCGAATGCACTTCCACGTTGTAAAAAAGTAGAAGTGAAAAATTAATGCGTTCCATTCCTAACAAGTGTTGAAATTGTCCACTGCTAGCTTCAATGAAAGAATAACCTGGTGTATCCAATTTCCTCGAATTTTGTCTATGATACTGTAGCGATGTGTATAGAAATTCTTTTGTATGGCCCCACAAATATAAATTTGTTCATGTCAAATCTAGTGAACGGGGTTACTGTATCATTGGTTCGAAACGACCTACCTCCCGTCGAGTTTGCATTCCGTTAAGAAAAAACGGTACGTGATGTAGTTGAGTCAAATGCCTCTGTACAATATAAATATCATCCTGGAGATGGTAAACAAGTAACGAAAATTAGAGTATGTTGTGTGTTATATCATATCAGTTGTTTGAATAGGAAAAAGTACTGTGCACTTCGAAGAGTCTTCATTACTTCTTTTAATTTCGCAATTATTAGTTTGATGCATACATAGTGTAATCAGTGCACTTGTGCAGAGCATGGAATCCAAAATGGTTATTATCGGATGACAGGAAATATTCAATTATAAGTAATAGAGGCTCGTAAAAAATGTAAAGTTAATAAGGTTATTAAACACAAAAATGCAAAATTTTATGTTTTTATTGCTACTTAAGTGTTTCAATTTTTACTGTGTGCCCTTCCTTTCAATATTTAAGTTCTAGACTCATTCTTTAAAATTTTTATTCTTCTATCACTTCGGCTTGGTTACTAATTTTTTTAAGTCAGAAAATTCTTAAAATTTGTCTTTAGATTTCAAAAAATAAAAGAAAATCTTATTCTAAATATATGAAAATGCCCTTGAAGAAGTTAGTATTTAATGTTAAACTTTAAACTGAAATTAACTTTCTACCCTCTACATGTTACCCCAAATTAATGGGAAAAAATTGTTATTGCTGCCACACCCTGGCCAGGAATCGAACTCGGACCTCCTGGTTTTACACACTAGACTGGTGCCACCAGTACTCAATCAAGCTTCAACGACGGTGCGCTTTCTACATTTCAATCTGTTTTAAATAAAGTAAATATCTTGACCCTCAAGTAGATTGTACTTTCGTTGGACCAACATCCGCATGAATCGGTTTCAAGCATGGCAGAGAAGTGAGGTAAGCTGACGTCCTACTCGTCGTATACTAGTATTTGCTAGTAGCAAACTGTGTAAGAAAGGGAATCGTAGAGAGAGAGAATGCAAAGGTGGCTGCGAATTTGGACGTTTTACAAGAGCATTCCTTACAGCACCATTTTGTACATTTGTAATTATGAGTAGAACATGTGTGTCAATGTGTATGAATGGTCACAAAAGTAACAATGGAAGTTTCTTTATTAAAAGTACTAAAAGAGCGTTTAAAAGTTCGCCTGAAGCCGGGACAATAACCGTAAATGATAACAAATATTTTTTCTGAGTATATTAGAAAATTGGAGAGTGAGTGCTATACGTTTTAAAACATTTTAGTTTTTGGTATGTATTTTCGGAATAAACCTTGGAAATATTAAGAACGCAAAATGCAATGCCTACCGACGACATAATTAATTGTACATAATTACGGATCAAAGTGCTATATAGCGTTATTTAGTGCATATTAATATATTTTAAAGTAGATAATTTTTCTTTAAAA